ACAAAGGTTTTTTCACATAAGGACATGAAATAGCAGAGCAAAAATAACAGAACCACTTGTTTTACACAAAACCTCCCATCACAGCAACTGAAACAGCATTTGTGTACCAAGGGGGAAATCAGCCCAGAGGGAACTACCATGACCAGAGCTGAGCTGTGACACCCTACCTACCACAAAATCTCTCCAGTAACTATAGGGATTAGGGAGCCAGCTTTGCAAATGACATAAATCACTCTCTCCCCCTCTGTCTATGTGGTCACTCAACACTCCAAGGCATCTTTTCCCAAACTTCCACAACACAAGAATGCTGATGCTGCTACTGCTGGCCTATCATCTATGCATGATATACAGGCATGTCCACTCACAGCATTCATTTTGTTCAGCCTCCAAAAGGAGCAAAGGAGAACACAAAAAGGTTGCAAAAACTGTAATAATAACTAAATAATCTATAGCAACTTTTCTGCCCCACATGAGTTTACCTGAAAAATCAGAGAAGAAACATTAAAGATTCGGTGAAAATGGACATAAACAATCTTAAATAATTTCCTACGTTGGGCAGTAACTACCTGTTGGCTATTTTGCCTTCCCACACTAGACAACTGCCAAATTTTATCTTATTTAAACTCTACACAAGGGAAGGAACAAAACATGATAATCTATGTGCCACATGAAGGCAACTCCGCTTTGGTCTCAGCAGTCAAGTGGGGAATAAGTTCTAACATGTTGGAAGTCATATTAAGAGTTTTCATTAAGAGCTTGTAAGAAACTTTTTTGTTTGTTTCTAGGAAAAATAGCATATAAGTTTTTCTACAGTGTTTTTACTAAAATAATTTTAAGTTACGTTGTAACCAATTAGGCATTAAAATATATCCAGAAAAACTGATATAAGTAGGAATGTAAAACAACAAACTATTTTAAATTTTGTGTCTTAGATTCCATTCATCCACATTTTTTGCAAAATAACATTTTGTTATAATGTTCTTGTTCCAACAGAATGCATTTTAAAACTTATTTTGCTTTCAATATCATATACTAACAAGACAAGTGATATGAGTTATTTTTGCAGCTGTTTGAGTAAGCAGTGTTAATCAAATTCTATTCCAGTTATTTTTTCATATTAAAGGTTATTTTTTTTTAAAAGAGAAGATACATTTTTCTCCAACATGGACTATCAAAGTGATTGCCTGGTAGACTAAAAAACACCAATTCAGGCTTACTTAATTTTCACTTACTACATATAAAAGTGATCACTGAGGGAATGTTATTTTCGGGAAATAGCTGCATACAACCATACACGCTCTTCAAGCTGCAGAGGTAGAATCCATCTGCTTTATGCTGGCATTTCTTTAACTGAAGTCAAACAGCTGCACTGTGTATTAATCAAAACAGTAAACTTCAAAAGACATGTCCCAAATTCAGGAGAAACTGTAATTACAGTTACAGTTACAATTACATCCATCAAGTTTGCAGTCTCCACAGACAAGCACCCATAAAATATCATCCCCACTTTTACAAATAATTACCACTAGTAGCTCATAGTAGAAATGGAAAAGGTATTCTATATTTTCACTCCAGCCCATAAACACTAAAATGTTACAACTTCCTCAACAATTCTTTATAACTAAGAAGTGGTTAAAGAACCTGTTTTCCTATTGTCATCCTTTGGTCTACCTTACCTCTTCTCTTTCACTCCCAGCTTTCTTACATGGAAGCTACACTGGGTTCTGCAGTTTCACACCTACATATGAAAGCAAAAAGGAACTATAACATGAGATATCATAGCAATTTTCATCGAAGAAGTAGCATCTCACAATGAGACAAACTCAACAATTTATTTTCCACAATTCTCTGTTAAATCTGCCTCTGATTACAAAGACTATGTGGCAACTCTAGTTTTCAAGACATACACTTTACCACAACAGACACATTTCCTGAGATAAGATGAGATGCTGTTATCCCAGAAGACTGGTCCATGTGATCCTGCAAGTAGCCAGATAAGTCCTTTTTTCTGTCTCAATAAGATACTTAGATGTATACAGATACAAAAACCTCCTTTGATACCTATTAAATTGATGTGTGTGACAATAAAAATACTAGCTCCCTATTGAAGGCCAGCTGCAACAGAATCAGCTGCTATTTCTTTTTCTCAGTGAATGCAATAGAAATTGTGCAGAGAAATGAATTTATCTTAACTATGTGTAAGTCTGACCCAAAAAAGTAAATCAATCAGAAACACAAGAGCAAAGGTGGAAAAAAGCTCCACTTGACATAGGGTAGATCAAAGATACCTTTACATTCACAGCACCTGAGATCTTATCTAAATAAGAAGAAATTTTTCTTGCAACAGAGCCAGATAGTAGAACACAGCTTTTTTTCCCTTAAATGTAATTTAGAAAACTGAATGATGATATACTGTGTTGAAATAAACACACTTCCATGTCACTGTTTGCTATATTTGAGTTGTTTGCTATACTTATATATATAAGCTGTTTTAATAGAAACACTAAATATTTCTCCTCAGTCATACTCTCGATCCTTTAAGTCCAGTATCTTTGGCCTTGCCCTGCTAAGTACCTCATTTTAGAAATATTTCTTTTTTGGGGTTTTGTTTGTTTGTTTCAGGTTTTTTAAATTTTTTTTTCTATACAGAAATAATGTTTCTTTGTGTTGTAAAACAGTACTTTCTGTTTCTTTTCTGTTCTTTTTGAACGGAGGGAATGACATTCACCTTACAGCACTGCCACTCCAGCACTCCCCCCCACCTTCTACCCTTCACTCAGTTTTCCCCACTTCTCCTAAAAACAGATGCTCTGCAGAACCCCCTTTCATATCAGCATCTCTTTTCTGTGTCATCTTTCCATAAATCTGGTGAGGTGCAAATTTCAAAAGAAAGCTCATTGTGGCTCACTGATTTCCCAAATCTCTCATATCTATTACAAGACAACCTGACACTCCTACACACTGAAAAATTAGGGGAACACAAGACTAACCCCTCAGAAGCTGTTTTTCATTCATTCTGGAGCTCACATGCCTTCTGGTGCTTACCCCTTTTTTTGTTTCTTTCCTTTTTTTTTTTTTTTTTTTAACTGAGAACTTCACAATAAAGAATAACACCAACTTTGTTTCTTTTGGAATATTATTTCTAAAGCAACAAATATGTTTTGTCTTTAAAGACAAAAGGCAACATCCTTGGTCTCAAGCACCTATGTACCATGGATGGCTCAAAATCTTATCTGGTACTTCTTATTTGGTATTTATTTTTCATGATACAGCAAGAGTTAGTTTGATCTCTTTGACACACAGAGGTATTTGTTCTATCTCTAAGGGTGGAAAAGACGTTTCTTTCTAACACAACTCAAAGACAAACTGGAATCATGAATTTCATAAAGAATCAATATAGAATATAAAAAACACATGAAAAACATGACAGATTATATGTGTCTTTTCTAGAGACAAAACAACAAGCTAAAATGAAAGGCTATTTTCTTTCCCACATCCAGTTTTGAAAGCTACATACTAGTTAATATAAAAATGGATGCCATTTCAGAACACAACCCCTTCCACTTCTGAGTATTTTTTTCTGAGACAATCTGGTTCAGTAATGCTACGGAAAGTAAAAAAACAGTGTAATAAAATTTAATTCTTGAACTTTCTAGTTCATTCAAAAGCAATTTAAAGTCACTCTGGCAATGGTATCCAGAACAGCACAAGTTAATTGAACACAAGGATTCATGTAGCAAATTATCTTACTACTAATGGTATGGAAGAAAGAAGCCTGATTAGTGAGCCCTGCTGGATACTCGCAATGTGAGAAGTCGAGAGATGCCAGAACTAAATCAGAAAGGTGAAGATCAATAGTTCTTTAATCAATGGGGGATTACAGTGGGATTTATTCTTCTGAAAACAGCAGGGGCAGATAAATTCCCCACTGAGATTAATTACTAGGAAGGGTGGATGTGAACAGAGGAGTGCAGTTATCTTTGTGACAACTGTAAGTGGCAAGAAGAACACCAGTGGGAGTACAGAGCTCTTTGGCTGAGTCTCTGCTGGTGACCAATGACACCCTCATCAAATTCCCAGCATCTCTTAGTTCCTTAGAAGAAATTGCTTTGAAGCCTGTGTATTTCTACAAACACAAATGTTATAGACCAAAAAGCAGGGACACAAATTTTTTTGTTTGTTTTTTAAACTGATCAGTTGTTACAGCTTTTGGGTTCATAAAAAAATCTATATTATGGAGAAAAAAGAAACGTGTACAACTAAAGAATGACAGCTTCATGCACAAAGATGCTGATCACCTAGGGGTTGTCAGAGCTGCTGTGGGGCTCAGTGTACTGGGGACATGGAATCCATCATGTCCATGGAATCGATCATTAGCATAAGAGCTTTTAGTGCTAAATGTTACAGTTCCCACAAACTAGCCACTAATGCATCATGCTCTAGTGCTAAATACTGTAAACTGAGACACTAAGCAGGCTAAGCAGAATAGAGAAATCACAGAGCATCTCTTGTAAAAGAACTGATTTAGAAACAAGTCATAAATTGAGATTACTGTGACTTTGAACTACTTAAGGAATTTACTAACATGAAAAAACAGAGCTAACAGCTTAGCTTGTCAGTGCTTGATTTTCTACCAGCTTGAGGGAGAATCTTCTAATTGGTCTCTCCCACAATGTTTTATGTTCACTTACCTCATCAGAAGACAAGATGCAGAGGGTCCAGCAGATACTAAATTTGCTGGATGTAATCTGATGGATTTATTTGTTTCATTACTTTGGTTATTACCAGCAGCTGTTTGAGAGATCTCTGTCTGAAACTTTGATCAGATGACATCAACTTGCTCATTTTATTTCTTGTAGAAAACACTTCAGAAAATATTTTCAGCTCTGACTCCATCCAGCTATGTTGGTCTGGTTTTAATGTCACTGAATTCAGGAGCTTTAAAAAAAATTTCTGTTGTTTTTTTACTCTGAATTTTATCAGACACCAACAATCACATCTGTGTGGCAAATCAGCAAAGGTTCTTTATTGAGAAAAATGCAAGTTTAATACAGATATTATATAAATTACAAAAAAAAATGTTTTAAAAATCAGTTCTCCAGGATACCCAAATTAATTGAAGGTGGAGCCTCAGTGAAGCAAATAAAGTCTCAGATCATCTCTCATTTTAAAGCAGGTCATAAAAATAGTCCAGGCCTTGTCCCAGTTCCCAGATGGATATTCCAGTGCCCAATTCTTTCGCAAGCTCTAAGCGCAACTGGATGGACTAAGACAAAGACAAATAAAGCAATTACATCATAGATATTAGACACTCCATACTGCCATGACTTCATGCCATTATCAGACCTTTTAAAAACATCTATCCTTGAAGCAAGTACTGAAAAGCCTAGTCTGTATTTCAAATACTCTCTGGTTAGCAAGCAATCATTCAGTAAGAGACAGTTAATCGTACCAGTTAATTCAATGACCTAATAAAAGATCACCAGCTAAACTGACAAAATGCCACAGAAATAAATCAGATTTATGAACTACGCAAAGGACTATTCTAATTTGGGCTATCATTTCACAATGCACAGAAATTCTAACTCTTCCCAAAAATGTCTCAGGGGTAAAATAAAACTTTATCACTAAAGACAATCAGAACAACTTGTCAAATACCATCAAGATCTCTTGCCTACCCTTGCCTTTTCCCAGGACAGAGTCACAATTCACATTAATACAGTTCTCTTTTAAAGAGATTCTTGGAGATATATTGAAAAGTATCTCTATTTCAGCTCCAAACATTGAGTTAGAGTTAGTTTAGCCATTTGTTTTACAAGGGAAGCAATGCCACAATTCATGTTCTGCATTTTTTTTTCAGTTCAAACAAGAAAAATAATTATTTTTCAACCTTTTTGCTTTCAGGTTTTCTTACTTTGAAGTGCAGCACTGCAATGTTTAAACTACTTACACTAGGGATGTGTTTAAAACTAATTTTCATGGAAAACAGAATAAAGTATCAAGGCATCTTTAACAGATCCACTGGGCCTGGTGTTCATTACTGCTTTTAACTAATCTTAAACAAGCTAATTTTGAGCAACCTACCAGCGATTACACCATTAATAAGAGAAAGAAACACATTTGTCATGGGGTAACGAAATTCAGTGTTTCCCGAACATCTTGATCATCATCACGTGAACAATTCTTTGACTTGCCCCAGCATACAAATCTCAAAATATTTAAGTACAAGCCTGCTGAAAATGGAACCATGCATTTACCAGTTACCACAGCTGAGTATCTGATAGGGAAGAAATAGTGAAAGGAATGCACAGGAGTGAGTGATCTTAACCTGGTCGGTACTGACAAGGGTAGGGTGAAATCCTTCCACAAGGCCAAAGAGAACGTAGCATAACAGCATGCAGCACAATCTATCTTTTTGCTGGTATGTTCACAATGAAACTTTCTAACACTGTAAGACAGGTACTACTAGGAAGAACACAGTTAGACATGGTAATTAATATCCCACATGTAATGGTACTTCCACCAAATTAGACTGATGAGGGGAAATATCGTTGTACTAATGGTTTTTAAGTTAACAATCCTGTTCAGGAAAACAGAGACTTAGATCATTTCACACTAGTTTATCCATAAAAAATGTCTCTGTTCTCTGTAAATATTATATAGTTTCACTACAGAAGCAATTCTCTTCCAATAGGAAAAGCCAGCAGCAGCTTAACATACTGCCTTTAGTTTAATTTGAGAAAATCTAAAGATAATTTCCTAGGAACTAAGGCTGCAAGTGACCATTTTATCCTGTATTCTGGTATATCGCAGACTATTGTGTAGACAGAAATTGTATGTCCTGCCAAAGGACTGTAAGGCCAAATGCCTAAGTTTTCAAAACACTGAAATATATTCCACAGAAAGAAAACTGAAGAAAACATGGTGATGAAGGCTGATAGGGAGAATCAGGACCCTGTTACAAAGGCAAAAGTTCTCCAAGCTTTCAGCTAACCTGATGAGAAGGAAAATTTCTTTGGTCACTTGTCTGACAATCTGTTAACAATGTGTCTGATAGATCCTCTCACAGCACTGGTTTTTCCTATTGTGTCTTATCTCTAGACATGGTTTACCTTCAGAGATCCCAAAACCCCATGATGCATTAGAAAGAAAAAACAACTTTCTTGTACAGGCACCTGAAGCTTTGAATCATAACAATTTACATAACATTTAGATAAGGGCAAACTTCTTTCACAAAAGCTTCAGCTCAGTTCAACATTTTCTGAAATGTCTCAATAATGCAACAAGTCAAGTAAACATTTCTGTCCTCTTACAGCCCTCTGATGTGAAAAACTGACACCTACCTTCAGTGTTGGGTAGAAGACCGCATGTTTTCCTCCTTTATTTCTGTAAAACAGGAAAACCAAATAGTCACAATAGCTTTGATAGATTCTAATAGCATTTTAAACTAAAGTTAGAATTCAAAACCAGTTTTATTCCTTTCTACTAAAAGGAAACAAACTCGGTGCTGAAAAAAACCGCCAACTTTATTTTGAAAAAATTATTATTAGTAAAATTAAGGTATGCTAGTATGTTTAGCACATGAGCATTAATACATACTTATCAAAGACAGAGACTACTTGCCATTTAGTAGCTCATATCTTTGATATCTCTTACCAGTGTTCTTCCACTCTGGAAGCTGAGGCACTGTTTCTGTGAAATCAGACACTTTTGCTATCAATTACCATTCATTCAGTACTTGCACTCTAGCTACTCTGTCTCCTGATGGCAGGGTACAGCCAAAATCTTCTCTATTTCTCTTCCTTTTCTACATCCTTTTCTCTTAGATAAGAACTTCTACTCCTGTCCCTTTTCTACATACGTGCAAACATCACAGAACATAAATCCAAAAAGCTATTGGGAGAAGGTACACAACATAGCTAAAAGTCAAGTATGTAACTGTGTCACTGTCCTGCAGGTATTGCTTGTAGGTAAATTTGTCAGAAAGATTCTCCTGTCATGATTCAGATGAAAGTCCTAAAGTACTTTATGCATAACACTTCATCAAAGAAGTGGTTACAACAAAATACAATATAGGCAGTCAGACAAGATACTTATTTACCCATACTAGTGGCCTTTAAGGACAAGTCTTAAAGAAGGTGAAAGAGGCTTTTGATGCTGTCCCACATGATATATTCACAGGCAAGCCCAGAAAGTGCAGGCTTGACAAGTAGGTGGTGAGGTGGATTGAGAAGTGTCTGAATGGCAGATCCCAGAGGGCTGTGATCACTGGCACAGTCTAGTTGGAGACCTGTCACTAGTGGTATCCCCCAAGTTTAGATAGTGGGTCCAGTATTGTTTAACTTACTCATCAAGGACATGGGTGAAGGGGCAGATGCATTTTCAGCAAGTTCCCTGATGACACAAAGCTGGGAGGAGCGGCCAATACCCCGGAGTGCTGTGCAGCCCTTCAGGAGGACCTTGATAGGCTGGAGAGGTGGGTACAGGAGAACCCTCTGAAATTCAACAAAGGTAAATGCATCTGGGGAGAAACAGCCCCATGCACCAATACAGGCTGGGGAAAGCAGCTCTGTAGAGAAGGATCTGCAGGTCCTGGTGGGCAACAAGCTGTCCAAGAGCCAGCAGTGTGCCCTTGTGGCCAAGAAGGCCAATGGTATCCCAGGGTGCATTAGGAACTGCATTGCCAGCAAGGTGAGGGAGATGATCCTGCCCCTCTAATCAGCCCTGCTGAGCCCCTGGGGTGCTGTGTCCAGTCTGAGTTTCCCAGGCAAGAGAGATACAGAGCTCTTGGAGTGGGTCTAGTGGAGGGCAACAAAGAGGATGGGAGACTACAGCATCTCACTTGTGAAGAAAGGCTGAAGGACTTGGGCCTATTCAGCCTTGAGAAGACTGAGACGGGACCTTATCAATAAGTTTCTGAAGGGAGGGTGTCAAGAGCATGGAGCCAGGCTCTTCTTGGTGGTGCTGAGCAATAGAATGAGAGACCTTTTGGAACACAGGAAGTTCTACCTGAACACGGGGAAGAACTTCTTTACTGTGAGGGTGACAGAGCACTGACACAGGTTGTCCAGATAGGCTGTGGAATCTCCTTCCCTGGAGATATTCAATAGCTGTCTGGACACAATCCTGAGTAATGTGCTTTAGAGCTTGAGTAGGAAGGTTGGACTAAATGACCTCCAGTGGTCGCTTCCAAGCTTAACCATTCTGAGATTCTGTGATTTTATGAAAAGGCTGACATTGAAAATAGAGGATCCAAGAAGACATCTCACAAGAGAGATGGTCTGATACCATATCATAGTAAACACACTGAGATATTTTGTTGCAACTGGATGACAAAACTGTCAGTAAAAGAGAGTTGTGTCTTCTAAATGCTCATCTGAAAAAGATGAAGACATTTGGTTTTCAGATGCAAACTGTGAAAGGTTTCTCTGATTCCCTGAACTACTAGCTTTTCAGTTAAATTAAATGCTAGCTGTATAAAATATAGAGACAGGGCAAGCTATATTGGACACAGAAACCGAGGCTGCATTTTAAACCCCTAATAATGAGAAGGATGAGCTACAAGTCATCTCACAGCACCACTTTACCAGTTAGGAAAGGAGGAAATACAGAGTGCATGGGCAGACCAAGCAGGAATTGCTCCTAAAATCTCACAACTTGAAAGAATGAATACCTACCTGTGCACTCGGACAAGCACTTAGAGACAGCAGATTTCTGCAACTATTTGTAATAGACAGTCTCTGTCTGCTACATGAAATCATTTAGCTGTGCTTTTTCTTAAAAGATTCATGATTTCATTTCTTAGCCATTGCAGACATGCAAGATTTCCAGGTGAGATGCTTCACCAGTGAAGCCTATTTCAGGCCTGGCTCCCATCCCCGTCCAATGTAACTGAACCTTTGTAAACAGAAGTGGTAACTGAGAAAGAGTTCCCTTAAATAACCCTCCCCTGGAGCCAGCTGAACCACTGCAGAATCACTGAGCCACTCAGCTGCCTGCCAAGCACAAGTGAAGTTTAGAGTGATTTTCAGACATAGTGTGCTTTATGCATATTCCTGGAGGAAGCCCACACACAAGAACCTCCACAGATTGGCTTTCAAAGGCAAATGATGTCATATTGGTGACAAGCTATCCCTTTCCCACAAGTTCATTTTGCAAGGGGCTATATAAGAAATGTGATTCAGACATGAATCCCAGAAGCATGCCATTCAGAGAGAGCTCTCAGATTTACTCTTCTGAGAGCAAGTTTTCATCCAGGACTTGTTGTGTCTCCAATTGGATTGTGCATTAGAGATCAGTAAAACAGAGTTTCTGATTTATTCCTCTTTAGCTAACAAAAAACTTGTAATTGTTTGCTACAAAGTAATTTTGCAACAGGATACCAAATAATTAAATATGAAGGAATACAGATCCCAGTCCTTTCATACAAAAACAGAAAACAAAATGCTGCTGAACAAACAGATTTTTTTTAAATTCTTTTTTCTGATAGGAAGTACAAGTTGCTGAGAAGTCAAAAGAAAATTACAGGCTCAGAGAAACCTTGAAAATTAAACTAAAAACATAAAAATAGAACATTTTTTAGGGTTTGGGGTTATTTTTTTCATTTAAAAATATTTAAAACAAGAAAGTATTTTGGAAATAACAAAGTAGTTCTGATTTCTTTTTCCTAAAGCACCCTAAAATGTGTTTTACTCTACTTTTCAAGTGGTGTGTCTTCACATTAACAATACATTGAGTAATATACAAGACACACCTTTGCAGAAGTAGTAGGATTTGTTTGCATCACTTCAGTATATTTTTGCATATTTGCATAAAAATAGCAAATTATCAGAGAATTAATAAGATGTTCTGGGGGTTGGGGGTGTTAAATCTATTTTAAAGGGATTCTTCCTAGATCAAGAATCCTCTTGTCATTCCATTATGAAAAAGGGAGGACAAAGAAAGTTATAATCTCTAATGCTCTCAGTCCTTCTAAAAAATTTTATCTGGGAGTCAATTTTATTCCTATTACATTTCTCTATGGTCTCTTCCATTTAGTGGAAGTTTGTTGCTTGAACAATCTTATCAGTAGGACTTGTAAAACCAGGCTCTTGTAGCACAGATTTTTCTCAGAACTATTTTTGGCCAAGTTATTGGTAATCACCCAACAGTTCACAGTACTAATCTCAGAGGCTCTGATTAACTGAGACTCAACAGGTAACTTTGATGGATAACTTCTAGAGATGTGACTCATCAGACTTGTCTTCCAAAGTTTGTTTTAGTTTACATGATTTCATTAATCCTTCTCTGATTTTCTTCTCTTTCTGAAGCACTCTTTTACGCTGCAGTTCAGTGTTGACATACAGATCACAAACAGCAGAATTTCCATTTGTTCAGTTCAGTAGCATACTATAGTCACTGGGTGGTACCCAAAAATATTTGCAGAATGGTAAGTTAATAAATGTAACTCACTTTTTATATTCAAAGTAGTGTTCAGCAATTTGTTCATCCCAGATAATTTTTGGTTTGTGTTCCTTCAAGGTTTCAATGTACCTGCAAATTAAAAACATAGATATGGAATTAATTTTTCTAAGACGCAGTTATGAAATTAAATTGCAGAAATTTCTGAAAATGCAGTTTTACCATGTTTAGATGCTGAACACTGTATCAAAAATATCTTCTTGTTGACAACCTAATTTCCTTAACCATTTTACAGTTTTCCATGTTCACATATTTAGGCTTTTTTTTTTTTTCTAAAGCATTGTATATAAGTATCTGAAAGGAGGGTGTCAGGAGCATGGAGCCAGGCTCTTTTCAGCGGTGTCAAGCAGTAGGAAAAGAGGCAATGGGCAGAAACTGATGCACAGAAGTTCCACCTGAATATGAGGAAGAACACTGTGTGACTACGCACTGGAATAGATTTCCCAGAGAGGTTGTGGAGTCTCTTTCCCCAGAGATGTTCAAAAGCTGTCTGGGCACAAACCTCAGTAACGTGGTCCAGGGGACCCTGCTTGAGCAGGGAGGTTGGACCAGACGACCTTCAGTGGTCCCTTAACCATTCCATGATTGTGTGTGATTCTGTGAATTAATTAATGTTCAACAATTGCAAATCTATAAGCGCACATGAAGGCAGTGCTTCAGTATTTCTACAGCCTGAAACCCATACACCAAAGCACAGCAACTGAAGTCATCTCTAGGCTGTGCACAGTTGTGTCCTCTAAGGCTAATCAATGCAATTCTTAATCATAAACTACTATGAAGCTTATGTCATTAGAAAAGTTCTTCTATCAAAGAAGCTAATCTTCTAAAAATGAAATTGTCAAGGAAAAGTCACTGCTAAGTATCTCTGCATAAGAATTTTCTCCACCACTGATTTCTTGGCATTATTCTCTTGCACAGACATTTTGAACATGGAATGGTCTGCCTCACTTGACACAGTGAGAATAGAGTACTACTTGTACCCAAAAAACTGCTAGGGGAACTGGTTTGGAATAGCTAGTGTGGAATAGCTAGGATGCTGTAAATTTATGTTCTTGGTTAACTCACAGTATCACCCCAGTGCAGAGACAGTGTCTCCTTGTGTCTGTGTTTCTGACTGGAAAACAGAAACAAAGCTTCTGCCTGCCACATGTAAGAGGACCAGAAGATGGCAAGCTACTGCCAGTGATAGAAGCCACGTGGGTGTCACACAAATAAGATGTATTTTTCCCCTGTTTCTTCTACATCTTTTTAACCTGCATCTTTAGCCATCCATTTTTGAAAAATCTGTCAAAACCATCTCTCTCACAATAGGTCTCATTCTTGTAATAATTTCTCTGCTTATGACAGGAATTGGATGGAGAAATTTCTTTCAAATCATCTAAATAAGAGATTTCCCTCTCCTATGTCAAAGACATTTATCACCAATTTCCATCAGCCATTATCCTGACTGCATCAGTGCTGAAATTCTACCTCACTAATATACATCAAAAAACAGCAACAGTTTGCATTTCCCAGTTTGTAAAAGATTTCTTCTCTTATTTGGTCTTATTCTAAATGCAATTAAAACATTCAGCATTGCCAGGAATATCTTCTCCCTTCAGCTGTGGCTTGCTTATTCAAATATTGGCAAATATATTGGCAAATTGTTGCCTATTGCTAGTGGTTTTAGAGATTTTCATTTTGTATTTACATCAAATGAACCCAAGCCAGACATGCTATTTACCCATCTACATAAGCAAACGTATGGAAGCAACTATTGCACTCTTCCTCTCACATACCTGCCCTGGAACAATGGACCTTTTCAAATAGTGCAAGTTAAACCTTGGAACCTGCCCATAAGACAGACAAGATTTTAAGTTGCCCCACTAGAAACATATGCAAAGATATCTAGTTTTGTATATTTAAAATGTAAAGATTGATTTTAACAAACTGTCCTATTCCACAACAACAAGTTCAGTAATGACAGGAGACAACACTCATATAGACTATGGGACCAATATGTTACAGCCCAGAATTACCAGCCAAGCCATCCTGGCACACAGCTTTATTTCTGAACATATGACTTTATATGGGAAGATTAGCTCAGTTGGTTAGAGAATAGAGCTAATAATGTCAAGGCCATGGGTCCGATCCCTGTACAGGCCATTCACTCAAGAGTTAGACTAAATGATCCTTGTGGGTCCTGTCCAACTCAAAATGTTCTGTAATTCTGTGATACTTGTCTGTGAAATCCTATGCCATATTTCCTATTATCTCTGTAGTATCTTACTATGTGCATCCTAAGTGGAAGCCTTCCTGTGTAAAACTGCAGCACCTGTAGTACAACACACTCACTTGAGTCAAACTAATGCTTACCAGGCACCCTTAACATATTATCTCACAGCTTAGGCAGTACTTGACTCAACAAATGTTTGATATGCATTGGTTTCAAAAAATCTAAAAAAAATCAAAAAGTGACATTTGCCATCACACTGAATAAGAGATGGGATATCAGTATGTCTGGGGTACCAGAGATCTATATCAATTTCCAAGTTCTCAGAGAGGAAAAGGAATGGGCAGGGAGCTCATCACAGCCAGTTTTCCTTCTTTCCACCTCTCACCTCACTCTTCTCCTTTCATCTCATATTTATTGGTATTTTACTCTCCTCTCTTTCTAATTTATCCCTCTTTCTGCTGCCACTGTCCCAGTTCACATCTGCTTTTATACTCCTATCCAGACTAATTTATTTGCTTCCTCATCCATCAGCTCCTAACTTACTACCTTTCTTCTTTTACCAAGCTGCCTCAGCACTTGTGAGAATGATAAACACTGAAAACGCAGCTTCACTGCCTCGCACTACATATTTCCTGGGAAGTTTGTGACCATTTGTAGAGAAAGCCATGCTGTTTCTGTGGTCCTAGCCTGAAACGAGGTCAGCATGAAGTATCTGGATTGATGCTAGCCTCTAAGAAAGCACCAATGCAGCATATAGAAATGATAAATCTGCATGGATCATCAGGAATAGTAACAAAAGGCAGATGTCACCTGCATGTCCACCTTGCAAATGCATGTTCTGACATAGACAAAGGCCATTCTGGATTGTTTAAGCTGCCACATCTCTTTTAAAAGGGACACTTGGCCTACAGACACCAACTGTTATTTTTATCACTGATACTCCTGGTTCCAAACACACCAGGTATAGTTGGACTCAAACAAACACTCCCTTCCACAAAGTAAATGAGAAGCCAAAACATACATATTATGGAGTTGTAAAGTTAGTCCTGCCAAAGATGTGTATCTCTGAACAACACTAATGTGGTTACACCTACACAGTATTGCACTTTACTGCACATTCAACTAATAAACAAAGGATCCAGATGAAAGGTTCTCAAGATTCATGGCTGGTCTTCCTTTCCTAAGATGCTTTTCTTCCAAAACATGAAAAATGGTATGGCCCTGGAATATGTTAAGGTAAAAACTAAAATCTGTAGTCCCCCCAAAGAAGGTATTTATCTTCATGGATAATGCTTTGTTCAGAATATAAAGGAGTCAGTCTCTAGTATATCTTTTGCAACAAGAATATACATTCTAGGAAAAGAGATAGCTTCACATAAAGTTCTTAGACTGGGATTTTTTTAATGAAGGTTAACTTTTTTAATCCTCAAATACTTTGCTTTACTAGTCTTGAGTCACTGTTCAACAAAAAACTTCAGTGAAAAGAAAACCACTACTGAGCATACTGAGCATTTTGATGCTCTTTTCTAACACTTTATATTTTCTCCTCAGTTCTCACATGAACAAAACTCTGACTAGAAGCAACAGGTCTCTAGTCAGAATGAAGGATCATTTGCTCCTGCTGCAAGAAACTGAGTTTATCTTCCATATAGCAAACTTGAGTGATTCAGTCAAAGGATAAAAATACTATTCAGCTTAAAAATCTCTACTACACTAAAATTTGCATTTTAGGCTTTTCTTAAACTACTTCCTTTTTAGTGGGACAAAATGTCAAGAACCAATACAACCTGGAAACACTTTAAAAATTTTAATTGAAAAGGTTTTAAGACTCAGAATTTATTTTGCTTTCTCTGTGTCTTAGAAGATTATGTCTAAAGAACAGATGCGAAATTTCTGAATATCCTACAAGCTACCAAATGATTCAACCATGAAACTAACAGTTTGGATAAAGGATACCTTGGATGGTAATAAATGAAAACACAAAATGAAGAAAATTTGAAAAGGAAAAAAGATTTTATAGAGATTTTGAGTTTCCACTCACTCAGACCCTAAAATTGCAGCTTGCAAAAGGTAGAGATGCCCTGCAATTTAACAATCTTTAGATATTAGCCTTTAAAATAGTCCTGTGAGCATGCATATATTTATGAAAAGCTTAGTGGCAGAGTCAAGAAAGCATAATATGTGTGTGTGTATATATATATACAGCATTACATAGTCAGCAATAGACTGAACAATTAAATTTTCACCAAACTAGTTTCCTTGGGATCACTTAAGCACTTTTTTACTCATCTCCTCTCACCATTCAATACTATATTTACTATATGTAAGTATAAAATTCCAGCTTTAAAAGGTGGTAAAGTTGCATACCACTGTATCTCTTGCTTGCACATTAAAGAATTCAGGTTTTTCTAACACAAATCCCACAAGTTCTTTCAAAAGCAAATAGGTTATCCAAGAAAAAGACAGTTACTACACATGTTCTAGATCATTAAAAGATCACTCTTACATTAAAACAGTTTTTACTCTGATGATTTATGCTTTTGAGAGGAGTGGAAAGCACACTCCATAAGCATACTTACAGGATATTTTATTCAAAATTAGTTCTGTTATGATCCTTGGTTTATTTAATGTAAAACAACAGCAAAATACAGTTTGCAGAGAGAAATCAATCTGTTACCTGTTAAAGTACCCAAGTAGCAGCCTAGAAATGAAAAATCTGTAAGTTAGCATTACTTTTCTCTACTAATCCCTTTGCTGCTCACACTTTGCTCTGTCAGTTTTAAAAGGCAATATGAATATTTTTACTATTTTCATAGTAATAGGTTTCCAACAGAGTAGCTTCTCTGAGTGTGTTACT